ACAAGTAATTTATAAAAAATGGGCATTTAACTTCAAGACATGCAGGTGGACAACACAAACAAGTAACAATACGATTAGGACTACCGCCAATGAAAGGAATATCTCTATCTAAAAATAACCCACAATCATGCATTGCTACACCTTTATGATTGATTTTCAAAATCAATCAATATCTGGTTTAGGGATAGCATTAAAAATGAAGAGGCCATTTCTTTTTTTAGGGGCCATTTCTTTTTGCAACATCCTGAAGATTAAGTTTACTAGAATAATTAGAAATTGGATTAAATTTCTTATACAAACTGTCTACAAATTAGGGTTGTTCGCCGAAAAACAAAACTTGCGAAAACTTCGCATCTTTATCTACCGTAATAGAATTGTTATTGCGGAAAATGCACATGCAAAAATGCACATTCCGTAACGCGCTATACGAAAATATAAATAAATAAAATTCCGTAATAAAGCATTGCGAAAGAAAACTTGCGAAACAAACCATTTCGTAAGAATACTTACGAAATAGTTCCTTACGGAAAAAGCATTCCGGAAAGTGAAGTTACGAAAAAGACGCAAAAGATTTTATGTTACGATATATTTAAGATATTAACTGTTAACAGTTTAAATAATAAATATTAAAATTATAAAAAAATGTTGTCAAATGATTGTTCAAATGTTTATACAAATATACCTAATATATATATATATATATATATATATATATATATATATATATATATATATATATATATATATATATATATATATATATATATATATATATATATATATATATATACATATATATACAGTAAAATCCCGTTAAGTTGGACTCTCAATGAACAGGTAAACAGTATGCCTTTCTTTTTAAAAAGTATAAAGAGGATGTGTGATAAACAATTAAATACTTTATTATAAAGAACGAGAGATCTCTCTAAAGGTAAATGATATCAGAAAGAGTAAAAAGAGAAGAAATATATGTGAAACAGCGGGATGTGAACCTGGGTCTCCGCGGCAAAATGTCTTAACTGAATGAGCTATACATTCATTCAACTAAGTGAATAGTAATATTTATTTATTATATAGTTAAGAAACTATATAAAACAGAATTTACAGAAAGAGATACGTATGCAAATAGGATTCTATATATCAGGAAAATGAATACTAATGTGAACCTTTAGTTGCTTATAATTAATATCTGGACTCGAAAACTAGTTACTTTTAATGGAACACCATAGGCTGTCGGAGCCTCAGGGAAATTATATTCAGAAATGATTGTATTAGACTCAGAGTTAGCTAGAAATTATTACAAAGTGTTTAGGACAGATGTCTAGTACAAAAAGCACAAGATTTAAAGCAAAATGATGTATATTATTTGAAAAAGTTGTTTTACGTACATTTCATCATAATTTAAGTAGAACTTAGTAAAGCAAGGGAAACGTGTAGAATTAAGCACAATGAACTCAATCTTAAAGAAGAGAGGTTGTCACTATTATGAAGGTGACGAAAGATCTGTAATATAGAACATGGAGGACAAAAAATGCTATCTTAAGTAAAAAAAGTTTGATGAACAAAAGTTACAATGGCTGTGGGATGCGAACCCGGATCTCTGCAGCTAATTATCACGTATCTAACTGATTGAACTATACGATCTAATACTTAAATTTATATTTTATTAAAATTAAAAAACAATATTTTCTAAGATCTATACTTCGAAAAGCGTATTCAAACAGGACTCTACATACCTTTAAAATCTGCTAGAACATTAGTAACGTGCACACTTTTAGAAATTATTGAAATAGGTATATTTTATCAGAAATATGCTTAAGCTAAAGCATATTTTTGAGCATCTTTTTACTATTTGCTTAAGCATATTCGAACCTGTTTCAAAAATCTCATATGCTTTAAAAAAACAAACATGTATCTTCCTACCCATCATTTTTATTTTTAATATACGTAATGAGTTCAAAAAATATCGTTATATATATTTATTATGGCACGTTTCGTAAGTTTATTCCCGTTAAGAATTTTTTCTTATGTTGTGATCCGAAATACTTTCGTTTCGAAAGAAATTTTATTTTTTATCAATATTTCTAAAAATAAAACCATAAAAATTTAATATGTTATTATACTGAAAATAAAAATTCATTATAAATATTTTGGGATTTAAAGATGTTAATTTTTACAATTAAAATCAGTCTGGCAAACAAATTTTCTTTATAGTCGATTGGCGAAAATGTTTGTTTCGCAAGTGCGACTTCCGAAACCGCTACTTTCGTATTTTGCAAAATAGTTTTGTTTTGTATGTCAACTTGCGAAATGCTAAATTTCGGAAGTGGCTTTTGCAAAATGAACATCGGCGATTTTAAATGTTTTGTAACATTCGGTACGAAAAAATGTAATTCCTCGTTCTCAATCTCCTTTCGAAAGAATGTTGTTTTTCCGGAATTGCACGAAATCCTCCTGTTAACAACCCTACTACAAATAGTCTTTTTTTTTACAATGTTGAAAAATTTTTTTCTGGTAAAATCTAGATTTTTAATTTTAATAGCTGAAAAATCTTTTTGATTCGGAAGCCATTGATTTGAAACCATTGTACAAGCCGGATTTGTTAAGCCCATTCTTACAGCAGCTTCAATTTTAAACATTGCTGCAGCAACATGGTTACATGTTTAGCTCATTCCTGCCATACATGTTCAGTGACAAGATCGGATTTTTGCATTTTCTTTTTCTATAATCAACCACAGTTTATGGCTCGTGTCATTAATACGTTGTGAATGTTTGCATTCACCTTTTATTGCACAAAATCGACTTTCCTCACTTATACAGTGATATGTGAGTTTTTGAAGTCAATAAAAATATAAAAACTAAGAGCTTTCGAATTTTTATAATCATTTAAGTCATTGCTGCCTAATTCAGATGGGTTAAACATCAAATAATTAAAAATATCTGAATATAAAACCATTGGCCATTTTTAAAAATCTAAATCCATTATGAATTTATCTTTGGATAAATAATTTAAACAAAAAGAAAACTCAATGTTTGCTGAAAAATCCTTTGTACGTAAAAGTTTATTTTTATTTTACCCACACAATTTGGATCCAGACCTCAATATTTCTACGCGTTTTTTCGATCGGATAGGTGTATTAGGTTGCGTCACTGAACTAAAAGCTAAAACGCAAGGTTTATTTAGAAATTCTATATTTTAAAGAAACTTTCCATCACTACTTAAAAAAAAATTTCTTAAAAAGCATTACATTAACTTATAGTTTAAAAGCTGTTGCGTCACTGAACCCATCAACGGGATAATTACCGTTTTATAAAATAACGAGGTAAGGAAGTCAAAATATCAGGCCAATTTTGGTAAAGTTTTTGGTCATGTAAAGCTGAACAATTACAAAGTAAATTGCTTAACTTTACGTGAATAAAAATTTGAGCAAAACTGCCAAAGTTTTTACTCACGTAAAGCTGACCAAATACTTATTAAATGCAATTGCTCATTTTTGTTCACCCGGAATATCATCTAAAGGTTCAGATTTCATTGTGGGTTTTAGTCAAATAAATTTTGTATTTTAGTATTGTAAAGAGATATTAGCAAATAATTGTAAATTATTGGATTTATGTTGGCATTTTCTTATAAAGTTGTAAATTTTTAAGAAATGGAATCAAAATTAGAAGTAAGGAAAAAACGTTGCGCAGATTACCAAGCTAATTATGTTTCTCGGAATGCTGATAAAGATTAAGATCTAAAAGGTATCGAGAAAAATTGTAAGTCAATCTCAATAAAAAAGCAGCTTATACTGCTAAAGCAAAATTAAGAGTTGTAAAAAGTCGCGCTCTAAAAAGAAAACTTTTAAATCAATCTCAAAGACTAAGGTCATCTTTTAAAAACGTTCAACAAAGAGGAAAAGTTTTGAAAAATTTTTAAAAGTACTACCAACTTCAAAAAAATTCTTTCAATTCATTCAAATAGCTCTGCTTATAAAGATAATTTGTGTCTACCTCCAGCATTTCTCAAAGCGATGTTTTAGCAGTTGTTAACTTTTATAATGAAGATAAAGTTTCCAAATTATCACTAAACAAAAAAGATGTCACTCAAATTTAATTACCTGAATAAAAAGCAAACAATATTCCGACACGTCATTTATATTATACGCTAAAGGTCAGCAAACTTTGCGACCTTCGTCCACGCATTGTAAAATTTATTACAAAATTTCTGCATAATGTTTACGTTTGTAATTGAAAATAAAAATATGCGATTTTCCTTAGATGCACTAACAAAATCAATTCAAGCGTCTTTTATCAAAGTTGGATCTGAAATGATAAATAACTTTGTTTTTGAACCGTATACATACGATTGCGCCTATGACAAATGCGTTGCATGCGAAGGTATGAAATAGTTCGATAAACACTTGAAAACAGTTAATACATTTGGCTTCGAAGTATCCTGGAACGAGTGGAGTAAGCCTGAAACTAAAACATATGCAAACATTGAAAAAATTTCAAAAAAGTCTACTGTAAAATAACTCATCCAACACATATCAGCAATGCGTGATAAGTTCGTTAAAGGCGCATTTGTGAAGAAAAACCAATCAACAATTTTTAAGAAACTGAAGGAAGTTTCGATGAGTATTAATTCTGAAATTAAAGTAATCCAAGTTGACTCGGCTGAAAACGCCAGGTGTTTCTTTTAAAATGAACCGCAAGCGGCTTATTTTTGTCAAAATCAAGTTTCTATTATGCAAGGATCATGTCCTTGCAGTCTAAAGCATTTATTTAAAAACATTTGCCATAGTTTTTGATTCAACTGGTCATACAAAGTCTTCAGTTATACCGAAGATTGACAAAATCATTCACTTTATTCCTGATCGAGTCAAAGAAGTAGTGTAGATTAGGGTAATATGAGCACCTTAAGCAAAAATTGGAATATTTTCAAAAATAAATATGCTGGATCCAAAATTTTTGCAAATAAACAATTTTTAGGGATCCCTATTCATAATCTATTTAGATATTTGGGCACTTGACATTTTTTCTTAAAAACACAGAGGTTTTAAAAAAGTAGCTCGTATTACCCTGACCCCTTGGTAATATGAGCACTTTAAATTAGTTCAAAAAAATAGCATTAAGTAAAAAAAGACCAACCTGCTTAATAGAACTAATTGTTGGAATATAAGGATTCGTGATTAACAAAACATATCATTAAAAGATCAAATGTTAAGCTACATTTTGTTGAAACAATACTACTATGTTTTCCGCAAAAAAAAAAAATTGATACATTGATTTTTCAATTTTGTTAACTCAAACCTTTGAACAATAAAAATTAAAATTTTTTAGATTTAAGTTACAGAAAAATATTTAGTATTGTTAATATATTAAAATTTTTTACTATGTTTTGTTTTTATTCAAGAAGCAATTAAAAACCACTGCTATTTAAGGACTTTAAACTAAGCAATTTCAATGAAAAGCTGGGTAATTTGAGCATGCTCATATTACACAAAAATGGTATCTTTAAATAAAGTCAAAAATAAATGTTTCTATGCATTATTTTTGAAACAAAAATAAATTGGATTTTTAGCTAATATATTTTTCTTTGTGAAAAAATTAATTTCATTATTTTAGCACCAAAATATCGTGCAACAGAATTATTCACGCGTGAAGATTTTTTTTAACAAGGCAAAAAATTTAAAAGCGTTTTAATTAGATGATATCCGCTAATAACTGCGTATAAATTTACGCTAATTGTACTGATTCCTACTATCACCACATAAAGTCGATTCGAATAACATAAAGCAACTTTAACTTCACTGCTTACATCTAATAAATCTTTAAGTATGCTCATATTACCAAGGTGCTCATATTACCCTAATCTACCCTACACATGTTCAGCAATAATTCCACTTCTCAGTTCAAAAACAAAAGCATTATGGCTGCAATGGTTGTATTTAAAAAACATTTTCTAAAAAAATTCTTATGGGATTTCTTTTCAGCTATGCACGGTAAAGGAATGGTTGACGGAATTGGAGCTAATGTTAAGCGAATCGCAACCCTGAGAGTTAAATCTAGTCTAGATGCGAGATCAGGTCAGCAGCAGATTTTGCGTTAGCTTTACAATATTTGCAAATATCTGTAATTCATGTCAGAAAACGATACGAGACAACTAAAAAATAATCTTGGATTCAGTTCAATTTTAAGTTATTCAAGAAAAATCAAGGATATATCAAAATCACATTATTTTTATGTTCAGAATGATAACGTTGTTCCTATGCTATTTTCACCTGAGTATAATTAAAACTTATTACAAAATAACAAAACTTCTTAATGATTTTAATTCCATCTTTTTGTTTCGTCACTGAATGTTGCGTCGCTGAACTGATAGTTTTTTTCTGTAAAATAAAACAATATGAAAACTTTGTTCTTAGAGGCTATTTTTAACACTGCCTTATTGTCAAATGAATAAATTACAATAAAAAAATCTAATTAGTCTAACAAGAATTAAAATTTCAGCGAAAACTCCATTATTTTTTATCCTGATAAAAAAATCACTTTTTTTCGCGTTGCGTCACTGAACTCATGTTTTAAGAGCCGTTTTTTCTAAGAATCAGGCGAATTCCTGAAACTGTGGAAGTGACCTCGTCCAAATTGCTTGAACTTTTTATATATTGATCAGAATATAGAGAAAACCTGTTAAGGAAAAAAAAAAATTTCAAAAATGTTTCGTTCACTCGGAATCTGGGCTTAAATTTTTGAGATTTTTTTAAAAATTTTTAGAAATTTAGTTTTTGCCACCTTTGAACCCATTTTTTTGGCAAGGCAAAAAGTTGCACATAGCTTTTGTAGTTAATATCAGACGTAACCCAAAAGCTCTCTCAAAAAAATATAAAAAAGTTGCGTGACACTGTGCAGTTGGCTAATTATCATAGTTCAAAAGTACAAAATCAATCAGTTTTGTCAATTTTTAATCGGAGTTAATTCTAGCGGCGAAGTGTTGCACACAATTTTTCTTTTAGGATTTGAAATTATCAAAGGTATTGAGTCTAAAAATGCAAAGAAAGTTATGTGATACCTAAGGCCTATTAATATATTAAGGCTTGAAATTGGAAAAAAATGTTTTAGTATACTTACAAAATGAACCATTACGACAGAGGCGCTTAGTTTTGTAAAAATGTAAACATATCCAACTGTCAATACAAAAAGGTCCTAACAAAATAATAAAAAAAATTCGTGTGATTTTGTCACACGCATGATATAACATGAATTAAAAACTGAACAAAAATCTAACATCAAGATAACTATATTGCTAATTAAATAAAACATAAATCAAACATTTAAATGTTTTTCCATTTAAAAATTAGTTTTTCATTTATTAATAGAGTCATTTACACACATTATCCACCACATCACACATAATTTCTACTCTGCTGCAGAAAGTTTCTCTAAGAATAATGATATGACTGTATTATAGTCTTCTTCGGATAATGAATAATCGCCACAACCACTGATTAGAAAAGGAGCATTTACTAAACAGATAATTTTATCAGTTTGGTGATTTATCTCCTCGGTAGTAACAGGCCAGCAAAAAGTATTCTTCTCTTGCCCGTTAATTATACAATTAACTCTGATCCCAGTTATAGATACCTAAAAGTATTAGCGCAACATTTAAAATAATATAATAAAGAGTTTATGATTTGTTTAATTTTGCTTACATTCAATAAAACTTGTAAAGTCTTATACAATGTCATTCTGAAATTATTTTTACATTTTATTTATATTCCTTTTATTTTAGAGCACTGTTTTGTAAAACAAAATAAAAACTTGAAACTAATATATACTTTGAATAATATTACCTCCCCCATAATATTCAATATTCCATTGTTTTTCATATGCAACAGCAACGCAATCATTCACTTTCCATACAAGACAAATTTCTTTTGCAAGATTGGCGATGTCTTCCTCATATTTATTATCATCTTCATTGTCTCCTGTCAGATTAAAGTCATCATTTTTGCCATAAACTTCTTTGTTATTGTTAACCTGACTATTTTCATTATTTTCTGTTGTCGGTTCTACCAGCTTACCTTTTCTTTTCAGGTTACTAAATCTATAACAATATCAATTGTGCATATTTTTAAACATATGTAAACAAACACACAAAATTATAACTTTCACCTAAATTTTAATTTCATATTTGTAAATGAACTATTTAACAGTCAGAAACATAATCTAATTTGCAAAAGTTTTGATAGCAACAATGCCTACCTTGAAAATAAAGATCTTATCTGTTGGCTAGTTACATATTGATCAGGCGGAAGTTCTCTCCTCAGCTGCATGTGAACCTGCTCAAGGCTCATTTTATTACCTGATTCTTCTCCACGAATAAAGTATTTATACAACAGTTCTTTCTGCTGATTTGAAAATCTAAAAGAACTTCGAACTGGTAATGCCCAACCTTGCAATAGAAAAATGTTCATGCAATGTGATTTGTCTTTTACGGAAGCACTGTTAGAGGATGAAGAAATTGGCATATTTAGTTGTGAAGTAATTTTCATCTTATGAACAAACGAGTTGCGAACTTTATCCAATGATGTTAATGATTTCGGAACTGTATGAAGACCGGATAGCATGTGTTCTTCTAACTCAGCATCGCTTTCAAATGATAAAGTACAATTCATTACAGTGCAAAATCTTAATGAATATAATTGCCTGTCACTTCTTTTCTGTTTTTCCTTAAGTGACTTGTTACGCTTAATTGAATTATCTGTTTTTGAATTTTTAGGGATCCCTATTCATAATCTATTTATCTGATAAAAAAAATCACTTTTTTTCGCGTTGCGTTACTGAACTCATGTTTCTGACACATAGCAAAAGTTAAACCTTTTACTATGTGTCAGTGATATGTTAATATTATTATTTGTGTTTAATTTGTATTATAAATATATATATGTTTTAATTCCAGATTGATTTAGAGTAATAAAAAAGTTGATATTATATATATATATATATATATATATATATATATATATATATATATATATATATATATATATATATATATATATATATATATATATATCGTACTTCCAATTTCCTCATCAAAAAGTGGCGACGTTCTTTATATTTCAAAACGTTACATATCATTTTTCATAGTTAATAAAATCATTGCTCAATTCTGTTTAAAAACAATAAAAGTTAAAAAAGAACTTCTTCAAATTTCAATTTTTAATTAGCGCAACAACAGTTTTAGAAAGGGTAACAAATTTAAAAGCAAAAGCATTAAAAAATTGTTAAAATTAAAATAATACTTTTAAAAATAGTTATGTAAATAGCATTATCTATTTAAACTTTATAATGTGAAAATTGTCCAATGATAAAAATGAGACACTATAACTTATTTTAAAACTAAACAAATAAGTTGTTTGTAATTAGTGTAACTTGTGAATTTAAGTTGCACTTTAAATATTCAGTTAAAAATTAGTTTTCAAGCGGGATGATTTAAATGGATTTTTTTTCAAAACAATTTATTAACAAGTGGCAAAAGCTGTACCACAAAAAAGAATTATGATTATCAAAAAGAATCTAATCAGTTATGATATAAAGTTAGGCATAAAATACTGATGTATAAATCAAATTTAAAAGAACTAACATGAAAATACTGAAAAGTTAAAGTCAGTTATTTTCGTTTTGGACCAATGCTAACCTAGAAAAAGTTCTATAGAAGTTCTATAAACTATTGAAACATGTGGCCAATAGAAATTTATAGAATTCTATAGAATTTCTGTAGAATCTCTAATTTGTGTAAAATTTCTAAAGAAATTGCTATAGAACTTTTTTTTTTACATATATTTATATAGAAAAAAATGTTTTATAGCAATTTTTATAGAAATAAGTAGACATTTTATAAAAATTCTATAGAATTTTTATAAAGTTTCTATAGGCCATATGTTTCAAAAGTTTACAAATGCCATTATTAACCTTGCATCAAGAGCCGCTGCTAGTGATCTAAGAAGATCATAGGATGTATAATCTTCTTCGATATTAGTCAAAAAAATCGTTTTAATAAACCTATATTAGCGTTTTTAAGCAGTTTTTCGGAGTTTTGCTCATCGGTTACTGAGTGGATCATTAGTCACTATAAGTGACTGGCCAATAAATTTCCGACATGTTAAAAGCGGCAAGTTATCGGCTAGCTACTTTCGGCGGCTTTCAATAATGGTCCACTAAATAACCGATAAACAAATTCCTCTATAGAATGCTTGCTGGGTACATTCATGTAAACTAGGCCGTCCCAAGGGGGGATGTCTAGCCCCCCTACGAATGATCATGATTCCTACGGGATAAGTTGCATAAAATTGAATTATAAAATAACAGCGGGTTGATTGCACTGTTCTAGTTATTTCTAAATTAATTGACAACTTTTTAACAAAGAAATTATTCTTTAAAAGGAAAATTTGCTGATATTTTTAAATCAACAAAAAAAACTTTTAAGAAATTCATTATTTGAATTGAAATGTAATTAATTCTTTAGTTTACTTTATACTTGCTTGTTTTTCAATAAAAGTTTTTTTCTGGGATATATGTTTGATTTTTGTTCGTTTTTATGAAATTTTGTATAAAATTTTTTGGCTCAACATTAATTTATTTTTTTAAATTAATTTTTTTAAACAAAATATTAAAGTGTTTTTATATCCTAGAAGAAGAACTTTAATATTCTAAAAACTTCTCTTGCGCTATTCTTAACTAAATTATTGCTTATTGAATAAGAGAACACTTTTTTTCAAAAACACTTAGTAGTTAAAATGATAAAATTAGTTTAAATAATCCGCTCCGGAACTCGTTGTAAACTCGTTATTTAATTTCTTTGGTTTTTAAAACCTTTGAATGTAAATATCAGTTTAATAAATATTTCGTACGTGAAGCATAATAAAAGTATTGCAGCCAATTATTAAACTAATAATTTCCTTTATTGTAATTTTATAACTTTAACCAAATAGAAATATAGATAAGTGGTTGTTCATAAATTACGTCGCGCTTTAGGGGCGTGACGTAATTTGTAGAAAACCCCTGCGCAAGTAACTTTTCTGTAACTCTGCAAGGCTTAAACTTTAAAAGTATTGTATTGTAATCCATTCACTGTTGCAATTTGCTTCCGGAGCGGGTTAAATTGCATTTATTTTTGTTTCACTTTTGCAGAGTAACTTTGTTTTATATTATATTTATCAATGTCGGATTAATGTCACTTAGATCTACTTTATAACCTTCAAAAAAATCAGTTATAGGAGCTAAATGTAGTTTTTTAAAATGTTTTGAAACTAGCCACGGTCTCCCCTGATCTCTGACAATCAATATGGTTTTTAATTTTCTGGTTCTATTGCTGAATTGCTAACTGCTGTGACTGAAAGTTTTTATTGTTCATTAGATGGAGACGGGGTGGCAAGAGGTATGGCTTTTGACATATCTAAAGCTTTTGATAAAGTCTGGCACGTTGGTCTTCATAAGTTGCCTCATATGCAAAGGATTCAAAATTGAGAGAAAATGAAGTCGAGAGAAATCGAGAAAAAACTGCTTCGATAATATTTTGTTATAAATTAAAAAAATTAAACTATCTAAATGAAAATTAAACTTTGTTCTTGTATTTTTTTTTTACATATTTCGATTTATACTCCATTATAAATTTAAAATTTTTTTTTATATTTCTTAGTACTCAAATATTTTTTTTATCACAATTTTTTAACGAACAAGTTTTATCTTGTAAATTTTCTAACCAGCATCGGTTTGGAAGAAGGCGTAAACTACCAGTTAAATGCCCTTCCGCGATGCTTATATATGGTACCCAAATTCATCATTCACCTACAGCCGTCCGTAGTTTTACCTGCAATATCTTTACTATGCACTGTTAAAAATTCCCGTACTTTTACGGAAATATTTTCCGTTATTTGTACGGAAACTTACCCATTAAACAAAATTGAACGAAAATTTTCCTTCTTTTTTGAAACACGGAAATTTCCGTTGGAAAAAGGTTTTATTATGGAAGCCAAAGTAAAATTTTAGCATACAAACTTGTCACATTAAGAAGCAATTTTAGATTTTTTTAGCTAGCGCGTTTTTTAAATATAACCAATTTTAGTTTATGTATATATATATATATATATATATATATATATATATATATATATATATATATATATATATATATATATATATATATATATATATATATATATATATATATATATATATACGGTACATTAAAGTTTCCTACTTCTCTAGTGTCATATCTATTTATATTGCTTTTAAAAAATTCATTTAAGAAATGTGGTGGGACAAGCCCGAGTTTAAATTTTAGCATGAAGAGTAAGTTTTGGTAAATGTTAATTCTATAGACGTTTAGTGCATTTAGGAGTTTAAACAAAGGTTCAGCATGAGTGAGTTTATCTTTTTTATAGACAATTCTAATGGCATGTTTTTGATGTTGATAAAGTGATTTTAAATTAGATTTATGGGTACTGGTCTATGCTATATTACCATATATATAATAGGTATGTATAAATGAAAAATAAAGATGTTTTAGATTTTCTTGGGATAACATTGGTCTAGCTTTGTATAGCACGCCAATGTTTTTGGTTATTTTAGTATTTAAATAGTCAATATGGGCTTTCCATGAAATATTTTGATCAATAAGTAAACCTAGGAATTTAGTTGTTGTGGCTCTTTCAATATTTTTGTTTTTTATTCTTAGCAATGGCAATATATTTGGTAGTTTTTTCTTTTTTGATTTGGATGGAATAAGATGTAATTAGTTTTTTCTGTGTTTAAAGATAGTTTATTAGATTTTAGCCAAATATTAAGTTTTTCGAGTTCAATATTCGTTGTTTCAAAAAGTTCTCTAATTGACGGGGATGAATAAAATAAATTTTAATGGTACTTTTTAGCAAAATTAATCAGAAAAATTATATTTCTTCTGACTAATATGTAATATAAACATAGCTAGACTAATTATAAAACACATTAACATTATTTACACCGAATGCGAACTGATACAGGCACTGCAATAGGCGAAATTAAAAAATCCCAAAATACTTTCTTTTTTTTTTACGTTAAGTATTTAACGTCACATGACTGCTTTGAAATATAAACAAAAATTTACGCATTAAGAGTCATTTTTTGTAAGAATCAGGCAGTCAATGGAAGTGACTTCCTCCAAATTGCTTGAATTTTTTAAATATTGATCAGAATATAGAGAAAACCTGTTAAGGAAAAAAAAAAATTTTCAAAAATGTTTCGTTCACTCGGAATCTGGGCTTAAATTTTTGAGATTTTTTTAAAATTTTTAGAAATTTAGTTTTTGCCACCTTTGAACCCATTTTTTTGGCAAGGCAAAAAGTTGCACATAGCTTTTGTAGTTAATATCAGACGTAACCCAAAAGCTCTCTCCAAAAAATATAAAAAAGTTGCGTGACACTGTGCGGTTGGCTAATTATCATAGTTCAAAAGTACAAAATCAATCAGTTTTGTCAATTTTTAATCGGAGTTAATTCTAGCGGCGAAGTGTTGCACACAATTTTTCTTTTAGGATTTGAAATTATCAAAGGTATTGAGTCTAAAAATGCAAAGAAAGTTATGTGATACCTAAGGCCTATTAATATATTAAGGCTTGAAATTGGAAAAAAATGTTATAGTATACTTACAAAATGAGCTATTACAGCAGAGGCGCTAAGTTTTGTAATTATATAATCATGTTAAATGGTCAATATAAGATGACCCTAACATAGTTTAAAAAAAAACTCATGTGATCTTCAGATATTAAGTTAAAAATAAAGGTACAAATTGTTAAAAATGATTAAGTACGAAGAGATATTTTTTTGGACAGACAGATGAGGTTTTCGCTCACAATAAAATTTCTATCATCCAAAATTAGCAATTAGCATTACACAAAACATTGCACGTAATGTTAAGAAAAAATTTAAGCGTTTCTGACTATGATATAGAAATCATAACAATTGAAATAAATAATAATAAAAAACAATACATGATCAGAAGTGAATTATTTAAATTTACGTCATAACCAAATAACTTGTGGTGATCGAATGGAAGAAGAATCGCTCATATCACGATTGTGGAGAAACAAGTTAGTGGGCGGTTGTTTACTTTACCATTAAATGTCTTAACTTTATTTTAACGATCTTTAAAATTTGCATAAATAGAGTAGATATTTTATCATTGCTATTGAGAAATAGGTACTGCATAAATAGAACTTGTTTTTAGTTGAGTATGGAACAAAACAAATATTTTTATGAAAACTGTTGTTGCTTTTCAAAAGGAAATTGTGGATCATTCAAAAAACATAAAATTATAAACAAAATGTTCTACATTCATCAGCTGGGAGATGTTGATGTTAAGAAACACCTCATCAACTTAAAGGTAATTATGTGTTTTAAATTTACGCAGACTGTAATATAATTTTTATAATTACATACTTTATAACTTCTCTGCAATAAGATTTTGAGACAAAGTTCTTTAAACAAAAAAAATAGCTCTTTTAATTAATTCCTCACTCTTTTAATAAATAATCACTAAATTAATCACACTCTTGCAATATTGTATTTTGATAATAATAACAATGTATTTCAAACTTGTAAACATTTTTCGTGAAGAGTCAGATTATAAACATTGCTGTAAATGACACACTTAATAATTGTTTAAAAAATTGTTTTTAGGTCATGCGATTAAACGATAATAATATTTGTGAAGAAAATGGACTTATTGCAAATAGACTTAAAAGAAATCTTGAAAAGGATGAACAAATATGTGCTTTTCACCGGTACACGTTTGGTATTGCATGGAGTCCTCCAAAAACATGCTTTCATCCTCACCATCTAAATATAAAAGGAAAAAAATCTCCCGCTTTAAGGGCGTCACCAATACATGTCGTCATATCAATGTCAAAGAATTATTTTCAGTTGGTGCAATGCTGTGTTTTACCCATTTAAAGCAAGAAACTGCTTTATCTAGAGTCAACGAAAACACCAATTTATGTACAGAAACACAAACACAATAAGAACAAATATATATGACACCTGCTACTCCAGATGAAGAATTTGATCCCGGTGAAATTAATGTTTCACAGGAGATTTTGGACGAATCTCTAAGAAGCCGTGAGAGTGTAACTGAGGCTCTTAATGCAACTCCAATAAAATTTAGATTAAAAAGGAAGTTCGAATATCTGGAAGATACTACTAAAGATAAGTTAAAACACAAGTATGTTCGCCTAGAAAACTTATTAAAGAAAAAATTTGCGGAAGCTGTTGCTCCTGGACAAGAGAAAATACTTATAGATTTTCTTAACAGTAAAAATGTTGATGAAATAAATAGCCCTCTCCCAATTGAAATTATTTGTGCCCAGAAAGTATATAAGCAAAGTGATTCCATGGGAAAGTTAGTTATCCTCTCATTATTAGACCATACCAAGTATACCAAAAAGTTAATTATGAACACATTTGAGTGTACCAAACATCGTATAGAAACAGCAAGAAAATGGCATGCATCTCATAAAGGGTTGGCATTTCCAGAGAAGAAAGTATTCGTCCGATCTAGTCTTGATCAAACAAAGTGTGAACATTTCTTAGACTTTATATTTACAAGCGGTATTTTGCATGATGTTGCTTATGGAATAACCAAATTAAAATACGACAGCGGTGAAGAACAAAAGATAGTGCATGCAATACTGACGACAAAATGTAGCCACGCTATCATGTTCTATCAAAAAAGTTGTAGTGAAAACAATTATATACCATTATCTGATTCAAGTTTGTGGAAAGTATTGCATGCAATAAAACCTTCAAGTCGAAAAAGCGTAGCTGGATTAGATGATGTTACTGCTTCAGGCATGAATGGTTTTCAAACATTACAGAAATTGGCACAAAGATTTAGTTCTAAATCTCTCGAAGCTGCCCTTGAAAAAGGAAAAAGGTATTTGAAAACAAGTTATCAAACCAATTGTAGTGTCAATGACTCAAACATTTCTTCTCATAGCTCAAAACATGCCTTATCAGATCCATCTGAAAAAAGTCTTCAATCCAACACAGAGATATCAGAAGTGGTATGTGCCGATTGCTATGATTTGTGCAAAGCTATCGAGATGATCAAAGAACTAACAATTCAAAATTCTGACGATGCTGATTCTATTTATGATTTGGAAATTGCTGTAAAGGATGTATTCAACTACATAAAACACCTGATGAGAGATTCTCAACAGAAAAAGGCAAAAATCGCAGCTTTTAAGCAATTAAACGATGAAACTGCTTTCTGGCTTAAAGATTTTTGTCAAAAAATTCTTCCGGTTTGATACAGAGAGGGCCAAAGAGAGTATTTTGGAAAGAAAGGAATGAGTTTACATGTGGATATATTCTTCATAAAAATAGCAGGAAAGTTATTCAAACGTGTTTACTTTACTTCAATGTATAGGTGTGATCAGGGAATAGGTGATGTTGTTTCGTTAGCCACAGCAGTTTTAGACCAATTCAGAATTGATCAACCGCATATCAAGAAAATGTTTACCAAATCTGATAATGCCGGCTGCTATCAGGGAAATCTTTCAGCTGAAGCAATCTACAATGTATGCAAAGAGAGAGATATAAAGTTGCTAAGATATGATTATAATGAACCCTGTTGTGGAAAAGATCAATGTGACAGGGAGAGTGCAGTTGTAAAGACAATTTTAAGGAGTTACGTTGACTCTGGTAATAATCTTTTGACTGCTGAAGATATACACAAGGCTATGCATTATAGTTTTAGCGCTAAAGATGCAAAAGTAGCAGTTGCTCAAATTAGCAATGATAAAACTGTAGTTACTGGACCAAAGACTAAGAACATTAGCAACTATCACTCATTTGAGTTTGATTAGAAAAGTATGAAGATGTGGCGTTATTTAAATACCGGTGAGGGAATTGAACAAGAGTATGGAAATCTTAAAATTCAACCCTCGATTAAGTTGTTGTTGCCATATAGCAAAACAGATAATTCAATTAAGCGTAACAAGTCACTTAAGGAAAAACAGAAAAGAAGTGACAGGCAATTATATTAATTAAGATTTTGCACTGAAATGAATTGTACTTTATCATTTGAAATCGATGCTGAGTTAGAAGAACACATGCTATCCGGTTTTCATACAGTTCCGAAATCATTAACATCATTGGATAAAGTTCGCAACTCGTTTGTTCATAAGATGAAAATTACTTCACAACTAAATATGCCAATTTCTTCATCCTCTAACAGTGCTTCCGTAAAAGACAAATCACATTGCATGAACATTTTTCTATTGCAAGGTTGGGCATTACCAGTTCGAAGTTCTTTTAGATTTTCAAATCAGCAGAAAGAACTGTTGTATAAATACTTTATTCGTGGAGAAGAATCAGGTAATAAAATGAGCCTTGAGCAGGTTCACATGCAGCTGAGGAGAGAACTTCCGCCTGATCAATATGTAACTAGCCAACAGATAAGATCTTTATTTTCAAGG